GGCTTGAAGTTGAGGCTCATCTCTGACGTTTTCTATCCTTTTATGTGTCTCTATCAATATTCAATATACCCAAATCTGTGACACTTAAAACACTTCCTGGCTGGGACAGATTTGTGAATGTGGATTGGTTTCACCTGTTCTTTCTTTTGAACAAGTTTCTCTTTAAGTGTGGTCTGTTTGAATGTTTCACTGGCTGTACTCTTGTTGTTTAATCCTTGAGTTGAACTCTGCTTGTAAAATGTAGCGACCATCTAGTGATGTTTTTCAATTTTTGAAGCTAGGGTGCCTGTAAAAAATAGGGAGGTACTGACACTACATCATCTTATAAACCATGTAGTACTTTTATTCTTCCCTTCTCGCTGTATAAGAATCTTCAAGTTCTACCAAAATGATGCACTCTTATTTAACTTGCTGGCGACTAGTTTCACCATTCCGTCGGTGGGCCTTTCTGCTACTCTAAGACACATTCAACTGTTTAGAGTCACTCAATGAACTTGTGTGGATCCATATAGCCGTCAAAGTATGATAAATTCACTTTTACTTCAAAATCTTATATTCTTTGACATTTCATGACAAGTCTTCGAGGTAGTGGTTCTTCATCTCTGAAATCTACTTGGTGGAAGGGATTCACTATATTTTTCGATTCGTCAAGTTATTGTTGTGGCTGCGAGTGACATTCTAGATCGCTTCCTTTAAGGCTGCATGTCTTTGTTATAGTTGGAGGATTTTCTGCTGCACTTTCTCTTTAGAATGTTCCCAAACATCTCTTGTGGATTTATCATAAACGACATTGTGGCATTAATCTCGAACATGTTTCTGATAATTGTCTCTTCGGTGGCGTGGTTGAGGTTTGAGTTTGGGTAGGTGGAAGAGGGTGTATAGGGCTGATGTTGGGTGGGAAAGAAATTTTTTGGATGGCCAGTTTGAAGAATTAATAAAATGAAATATTTTTATGTAGAAGTAGGGTTGCGTACTGGTGAATGCTAGAAAGCTAAGGTAGGACTAAGATTAGGCCGAGGTAACTCACGAAAAACTCACCTAGCACGAAAACAACATATATAGACCGAGATAACTAAGTAGCAGTCCCCACTCCTCAATTGTGGCAGAGATCAATCCATATAGAGCCGGCTGACCCTCCCTCTTCTCTGTTGAACACGGTTCATCCCCAACACCTAGCACGAAAACAACAACATATATAGACCACTTCTAAGGTTCTAAGATAGTCGAAGGGAGATTCATAAGGCTAGATCCTAAACCCTAAATGGAAGACTAGATCTCACGAAAATTGAGGTCAACAATATATGGCAAACATCAATCCATATAGGGCTGGCCGACCCTCCCTCTTCTCTGTTGAACTTGGTTCATCCCCAACTGTTGAAACATGTGTTCGGTTCTCGGTTCAGACACAATTCCCCTGTTGTTCAGGTTTGGAGGACACGACCCCCGCGTCGTTCTACATTGCAGGTGGGACGCCCGTGTTAGTTTGAACATAATATTTTTTTTTAGAACAAGTCTTGTTTGCATTCATTTTTTGGTTTATTGGTTAACGCTATTCATAATGGTATTTTTCAATGTAAAGGTTATTTTAATCAAATTTCTAGGCGATATTTATAGATCAAGAGAAGAATCTTGTGAACCAAAAGAGAGGGAAAGGACTTCAACAATTCTCGAGTAAATTTCAAACTTATCGGCCTATAAATATTATTTTGCATGAAGATTCACATGAAAATAATTAAGGGGCTTGTTTTTCAGGTTTCATTTGAAAATCTGGAGTAGAGAATAAAGTAATTATAGGGTTCATGTTCTTAAGGGTTTAAACTATATGTTCACAATGGTCTATGAACTGAAGAGCAAGAGAACTCTTTGAAGTAACTGAAGAGCAATAGGATTTTTTAGTAGGCTTCAAGGAATAAATATCTCCTATGATTCATTTGTACTTATCAAAGAAATAGAATGATATGGGAAAATCATTAGCTAACGACTATTTGAACCTCCATCTAGTCATGGCTGGCTAGATTGAGTTGAATTTAAGCACTAACACTGTAACTCGCTGGTTTGAGAAGGCGACCAAGTTGAAAATGAATTTGTTTTCCAATTATGTATCTTTCATACCTGATATAGTTAACCAAGTTTACCTATTCATGATTGCAGAGATCTTTGTTGCCCTAATATGGACTACAACATACGAAGACTTAAGAATAATTCCAAAAAAATCTTCAACTTGTAAAATGGGATTCTAAATGATTGTAATGTGTTTTCAAGTCAATTTTATTTGAACGAAAAATCAAGCTTAATATGTTAGTATATTAACATCATAATGTGTAAGAGAAACAAATATGAAGCTTGAAGCTTGTTCTTTTTTCTCATGCTTCATGAATTTCCATTTTAATCTTTTTGTCATTGCATGTATATCATACATATTGGCGGGACTAGAATTTGAGGAGAGATGGTGGGAACTAAAAAACAACTAAAAGTAAATTAAAATTAAAATTTAAAATTTTTATATAAATAAATAAATAAATAAGATAAAATGAAAAGAAATGCTAAGAATAATTTATAAAGAAAAAAAAATTTATTTTAATCCATCCATTATTATTACGAATTTTAAATTATGTCAATTGTTTATTATTTGCATCAAAATCATCAATTATTGATTCTACATCAAAACTCTATTATAATATCTTTTTCAATATATGTTATCAATGAGCTTGCAAGAATATTGTCTTTCCTGATATTTCTTGACCTTATTTTGATAATCTTTATAGTTGAAAATGCATATTTAATTGTTGTAGTCAAAACAAATCTTGTCAATATCAATCTAATTAAATGATCTATAAGAGAATTTATTACTGATTTTCTTGTTTTAGCTAACATTTGACATAAATCAGAACTTGCAAAGCTATTCTAAAAAAATTAATTTCATTGGGCTTCACTTTTAAATGCTCTAATTTAATTTTTAATTATATTTTTCTATATTCTTGAAGACTTTGGGATAACATTGATCAGCAAGTTGGCAAATATCATCAATTTTGAATGATCAATATTCATGTTGAGGATTTATTGTTAAGCTAAGAATCAATAATTGTACAATGTGTTCTTTAAATCTGTTACTCAACTCCTACAGTTGTGTATCTAAATTGGTTATAAAATTATCAAATTTATGATGAGCAAATTATCAAATTTATAATGATGCTCAACTTTAATAATGTATTTTAAGGACCAGCATTTTTTGACCCCAAAGTAAGGAGCAATCGTTTTTGGAATTTGTATATCAAAATTTTCACTAAATAATTTCACCATTCAAAACAAAATCTCTCTCTTATTTTTCTTAAATTTTGAAGAATATGTTTGATTATTGATATCAAATGCATTGCATTAAGGATGACTTGATTTTCCTTATAGTTCCTGACAAAGATTATTATTAGTTACTAAAATTTCTATAATTAAATGCAAAGTAAAAGTAAAATCAGTTGAGATTATTACATCATAAGCCACATAAACTTAACTTCTTTGATTTTATGTATTTCCTTAATTGTTTCCTAAAATACTAAAACAACATAGATGACCTCATATCTCTTAACTAAACTGCAAAGATTACTCCAATGTGACCGCAAAGTCTATTTTATGCACATTTTAAACTACCGGCTTGATTTTACTCCTTATCAGTATCTAACTCATCAATTGTAATTATTTTTATAATTTTAATTGTTTAGACAACTTTCAAACGATCTTGTTATTTAAAAGAAAAATAATCCAAATTAATTATAAGGGTCAAATAGGTAAATAATTGACAAGCTGCAATAACATACTTTGATGATGCTATTAATGTAATCAACAGTTCGTGTTAAAGATTGAATATAATATGCAAAAAATAATCATTGATGAAATAAGCTTGTGACCCATTCCACTCACCCCGCCTCCTCTAATTCATCACTCATCGTACCTTCCTTCAAGAATCATTTGAATATTCATATCGAAGAACTTATAAATGGACACCTATAAGAGGGGATTAGTCAAATAGATAATGCAGAGGTCAACAAAAATAAATTCGTTAAGTGTTATGAGATATTGTTTAGACATTTGATGAACTTTTTCAGCTTTTCCTTTTCTTGAATATAGTTGAGGTTCCTTTTAAAATCTTCATGTTCATAGATTTTTTTTTCTTGTACATTTCGACATAATGACTATAGTAATTAGTTTGATTACTCATGAACTATTTGTATTCATCAAAATCAATAATGTGTCAATAACTTTGTATATGCTTTGTAGTTTCCCAACTTATAGAATGAATTCTATCCCATATATCATTAAACTTGCGTTTCTTGTATCCTTGTGACCTTATGAACCTTCTGATTGCAGCTCTAACATTTTTCCTTTCACTCCTTTAAGCTCACCGGTGTATTTTTACATCTGTCACCTTTTAGCACCGACTACCCATTTAACTTATTCACAAATATAAAAAATACGAGGACACATTTCAAGCACTATTTGCTTGTTAATAACCTACAATAACCCTTACCTAGACTTTTATTACCGGCTTGATGTTTGGCATCTCAATCTTTTTTTGTTGAACGATAAATTTATCTTCTAACAGTTAGACATATTGTTTTTGGGAAATTTCGATACATTCCACACAATTCTTATGTATTTATATATCTAACACCCAAAATTTGATATTTACTCTTATAACACTTTGGTGTCATAAACCTATGCATGAATTGGTGTATTTTACTTTTAAAGAGAGAGTAATGATGATATTTTTGATGTGATATTAAGGATTTGAGTGATATGCAAGAAAATATGAATGTTTAGGTGTTATTTATGTAAATACATAAGAATAATGTGGTATGTATGCAAGTGCCCCTTTGTTTAAGCAGGTAGTGTTTGTTATTTACTCCTCAACGTTGCATTTTCGAAACTTACCTTCTCGTTAAATCTCATTTGTGTGCTACAAAAAAGTTATACCTTTAATTTGTTTTTAGTTTTTGCAAACTTTGTAGCTTAGGATGCTAAAACGGATAGCTACTGTCAGAGATGATGGATCTGTGTTAGTTGAAATCCCAAGTAATATTGAGCCTCCATCTCATGATCCCGACTCCGAAGATGTTCATTATGAAACTGTTGATGAGGAATTTACTATCCCTTGTGACAATCAATATATGCCACCTCTGCAAATAGTTATTCTTATTGTGGGCACGAGAGGAGATGTGCAGCCATTTGTTGCTATTGGTAAACGTTTACAGGTGATTTTTTTTATTTTGATTTTAAGTTGCTATTTTTTTATCTTGTGCTGCTCATTTATTTTTATTTTGGGAATTTTACGCAAGTAACACACAATTCTTATGTCTTGACATATTTCACACCTAAATTTTCATATTTTTATACATGGTACTTTGGTGCTTTAAGCCCATCCATGAAAAGGTGTAATTTACATCTAAAATGTGGTAATGGTACTATTCTTGATGTGATATTAAAGATATTAGTGTTTTGTGAGTAAATATGAAAGTTTATGTATGAGATATGTAATACATAAGAATTTTGTGCTATGTATGTAAATGCCCCATCAAACTATTGCTATTTCTCGCCAAAATTCAAATAAGTTGCTGTACATCATTTTCTGTTAATATATTAACAAAATCTTATCTTCTTCTCTCCACAATCTGGCCATATAATTGCATGCTCTTCTACAAGATGTCCTTTGAGCTATCACATATTTAGTGGAGATTTATTTTATTATCGGATCAACTTAAGTTCATCTCCAAGGCTTTTTCATTCAAACGTGAGAGTGGCAGCAGTAGTTTTATGTATCTACTCTTCTTCGACTTTTATTGTATTTTGATGAAATTTTTAGAGCCTGAAATTCCTATTTGTGTAAAGTTCAAACTGTGAATATTTCAGATTTTTAAGTTTGCAAAAAAAAAACAACTTTGTAAGACAAGATTTTTAATGTTTACACTCATTGTTACAAATTGCTATAACAATTGTGTGACAATTGGCTATTTTTATCTGACTTATTTCGTTATTGTATGCGCTCATTTATTTTTTTTTCTTTCTGCCTGCTCAGGAATTGCTGGTATGTGACTAATAAAAATTAAATTTCTTTTTTCCGCTGCCATTTATTATTGAGAGAATCCCTTTGAAACTGCATAAAAATGCCCGGCAATATTCAACTAGAGAAGAACTGAATTGAAAAATGTGATTTTTCATATTTGTTTAGCGTTGAAAACTGAGTAAAAGCTTCATTTAGCTTGGTTGTGTTGTTACTTATTTAGGGGCTGTTTAATTGCCTTCATTACCAGGGTACTGCAAAAAGAACGTGGGGATTTTCAAAGTTTTTGTATTTTGTTGGATGAGAAAGAACTATAGTGTGAACTTTTAGTGAATTCAAAACTCATATTTTAGTTCAATTTTGGTTAATTTAAAACTTGTCTGTCTTTGCTGATTTTGAAATACATGTCACTACTGCCCGACGTCCGCACTACCAGCAACTGCTGCCCCCCACCATCTCTGGCTGCTTTTGCATTTCACCTGCTGGATGCTGCCGTCAAGTGATATCTACTTCAAACCAAACATATATTTTACATTTATTTTGCACAAAACCAAAACATTGGTAGACTATATTTCAATTACTGATTTCCTTTTTCTTCGCATTCTTTTTTTTTTCTTTTGAGCAAAACGAACTACTACTTGGTTTCTTAAGTCAAAGATCAAAATTCACACAAGATTAGCTGAAGTTGGCAGCGTGAGTTCCGTGAACTCCGCTAGGATTACTGCATTTTTGACTGATGATGGAGGCGATAGCCGAAGTGCTAGTTTGGTAGTGTTATTATCTGAAATGACCCAAAATTGCTAAATGTAAGCAGTTTTAGAGGCTTGATCCATGATAAACTTGTTTCATTGACTGGTGTGTGAAATGGATTATTATTTGTTTGAGCAAGTTTACCCTTTGCATTTTTATGGCTATGACATTAATTTGGCTCCTCCTTTAGAGGCTCTTTGGGATCACTTTTGTTTTATGCTTTCTATTTTTTTTTATTTTGTTATATATATGTTTTGGTTTGAAACAAAACCTGTTTGTTATGTTTGATGAAGATATAATTGTTTTTTTAGAACACTCGAAATATTTAAATATTATTCCAAGTATTTTTAAAAACATGTTATTTAAAAAAAAACAAAAATCATAACATCTAATAAACATAACAAACATATTTTAAAAAACAAAAGAAAAAAAAAATTTATTTGAGACAAGCCTTTAGTCTTTTCAGTTGTGGTTTTACTTTTACCAGAGAGTTGAAATTGAGCAATAAAATAACGTCTCTTTTTTCTTCTAATCAGGATTATGGCCATCGTGTTAGACTAGCAACACATGCAAATTTCAAAGAGTTTGTTTTGACTGCTGGTCTGGAGTTTTTCCCCCTTGGAGGAGACCCAAAGGTTCTCGCTGAATGTGCGTACACTTTTGTTTGTTTTTTCTTTTTTAATCTTTTAGCATAGGCAGTGATGATTAATAAAAGATTATTGGAACCGTCATGTGACATTTATTAAATATATTTATTTATTTATTTGCTCAGACATGGTTAAGAATAAAGGATTCCTACCTTCTGCACCCTCTGAGATTCCAGTTCAAAGAAAGCAAATCAGGGAAATTATTTTTTCCTTACTTGCAGCCTGCAGCAATCCAGATGTGGATTCCGGCATTCCTTTCAAAGCTGATGCAATTATTGCTAATCCGCCGGCATATGGTAAGAGCAATGCAATCAATTTATAATCCATATATATATATATATATATATATATACATAGAGGGACATTTACATACATAACACGGTTCTTATGTACTTACATATCTAACAACTAAACATTCATATTTACATGCATACCACTTAAATCATTGACATCACATTAAAAACACCACCATAATGATAGGAATGACACAAGTTTCTGGAGGAATTAGGACAAAAACAATAGATGCATTTCTGCCGGCAGTAAATCAAAACGATACAATCCCGAATATATAAAAGATAAACATCTACAATTCGAGAGGTAGACAATCTCTCCCAAACTCTAACCTGAAGGTTCAAGACAATAATCACACATACCCTAACCCTAAACATATTAAGTCTTATTTATACTCCAAAATAATAACTAATAAATGACAAAATTACCCTTTTAGTCTTCCACCTAACATAAAATTTGGCGGATAGCGTCGTAGGTGCCGATCTAATATTACTCCCTTTTGAAAAGGTCATTTCGTCCTCAACGTGTATGAGAGGAAATTATTGTTGGATCAAGTCGTATTATTCCATGTGGCATCATAATATTACAATTCTTTTCATTTAATTATTCAAAGCGGTAACAAGGAGCAACAATTGCCACGTCTCCACCTGGACCAAACCAATCTAGGAATTGACTCAGAGTTGCCAACAATTGCCACGTATTCCTAGTTTTTCTAGTACCTTATATTTGCTTTTAGGATGTTTAGAATTTAGTTTTCATGAGTTTTATGTCGTGGCAGTCGTCGACATCTCCGTTTTTCCCTTATAGGGCTATTTCCAAGGGTCAAGTGGTGCTTCGCCTGTATTTTGCTCCCGTGGTGGTGATTATCTTTTCTCTACCCTTCTACATCCTTCCCACATTGCTCCTTGTCGCCCTCCTTTGCTGCAGGTACTTGAAATAGCTGTCTTTATTTTTCCTTTCTGCAGTGACGGAAAAAATTAGAGATCGTCTTAGATGGTTTGGTCACATTAAACGTCGACTATCTGATGATCCGATTAGGAGAGCAGATGTTTTAGATTCGACTTATGTTAAGAAAGACAGAGGTAGACCTAGGAAGACTTGGGCTTATTGTATAAAAAAATGATCTTAATTTTTTAGAACTAAAGGAAAATATGAAACTAAATAGGACACGATGGAGAAAAATGATTCATGTAGCCGACCCCACGTAGTAGGATTAAGGCTTTGTTGTTATTGTTGTTGTTGTTGTTGCAGTTTTCTGCCTTCCAACTGTTGCCATCTGCTTCTTTGTCTGTTGTCACCATCTAGAACAATAAGGAGTTGTTCTTACCATTTTCGGCCTTCCCAGCCATTGTTTCTTCCCTTCCACCTTGATGCTACTTTCTGAACTTTCGCGCATACCCTTTCTCAATTGCTGCCATCTTTTAGTTTCCCCTTTACTACTAGCTAGGGCTGTCAGAAAAGCTTATTGTTTGCGGACAGCTCGTGTTCGACTCATTAAGCAACTCATGTTCGAATCATTCATTAAGTAAGCGAGCTAAGTACAAATAGTTTTTTTAAGCTCAAATTACAAATGAGTTGAAGATAATCTTTTGTTCAATCGTGTTCGACATGTTTGGACTCGAAATCAAAAAATTATATACATTATTTATATAATAATATATTATAAATATTTACATCTAAGTTTAAATCACCCTCTACTCGTGTGTTCATGTGATTCTATGACATTTATTATGTAGGAATGTTGCAAATTTTAATCAAACACCCTACATCTATTTTTCTAATTAATTTAAACAAACCAATTTCGAGCTGAAGGTGAATAAGAATATGTAATCGAACCGATCACGAAGACAATGTTCACAAGCAATATCGAACACGGGCTAATTTCAAACAGAATGAATTTCAAATGAGCCAAACACAAGTCAAGCCTGAGCTCTCTCAAGCTCGGCTCTTTTAAAACCCTACTACCTGCACCCTAACTTGGACGCTCCTTGTTTTTGTTGTTCCGGACTTTTCACATCTTTGGTGTTGCCTAACTTGGACGCTCCTTGTTTTTGTTGTTCCGGACTGTTCACAGCTTTGGACAGCCCTTTTGCATCGAGTTCCACTGCTTGCTTGTAGCCCAAACCATTGGAAACCACAACCTTGTTGTTTTTTGCTGGTTAACTTCCTCATCCACTATCCCGCCACCTTCCAAACCCTCGCCAACCACCACCTCCACCTCTTGATCCAACCTTAGTGGAGTTTTTTCCGTCTTTTGTTGCAATTTCGAACTTCTTATTGTGTTTGGTTGTAATTTCCTATTTTATTTTAGTAATAATATTCATTTTTCTCGTTGTTCGTTAACTACATTATCATTTAGCATTAGAGCTAGTCTAACCCTAGTTCTATTTTAGGGCTATCCAATAATCCCACTACCAAGTATTTTTTCATCTCTTTTCCACTCAAACCATCCCTACATACTCTTCCACACCTCCAAACCTAAATCCCAACTATGCCACCGAGGAGAAATTTGTTAAAATTCAGATCGGGAGGAAATGACACAATATCACTTAAAAGAAATCTGCAAAGTGATGTTTATGAACTTTCTAGAGAATTCTTCCAAATGCAATAAAGGCTTGCTGCTTTTGAGAAGTGACACTCCTGAAGGGCCACCCGTAGTCACATCGTGATTTGTCAGATCAAAAGATGAAGTGAATCCCTTCCACAGAGTAATTTCTAGTGATGAAGAATCAATACTCTGGAGATTTGCATGGAATATCAGAGAAGCTAAAATTTTGGATTGCTGGGTGACTTAAACACATTTTGATGACCAGATGAATCCAGACAAATTTTTTGAGTGGCTCCAAGCAATGTAACATGTCTTTGAATGCTAGGACGTCTCATCAGACATAATGGTAAATCTAGTCGCCACCAAGTTAAAGAAGAGTCTGTTGCTGTGATGAGAAAATTTGAAGCACCTGCGCCAACGGAAAGGGAAAAAAATCACTTTTTAGTCTTAGATGAAACGAAATATGCAAAGCAAATACCTACCTATTCATTATAAACATGACATGTTCTCGAGACAACAACACAGGGTGACCGCCGCATCTTACTAACAAAATTTAATCATAGGGTCAAGAAACAAGAGTACACCCAATCGAATGTCTAAGTTGATCCCGCCATAGGAAAAGCTAATTTAGAGTGGAGACGGGCGGAGCCAACCAACATTCATAAATCTGTCTCAGGCAGAAAGTGCGTTAAGTGCTACAATTTTGGGCAAAGTACATCACATTGTCTAAAAAAGAGTACGGTCTATTCCACTTAGCAGGGAGCATTTGAAGAAATAGACAATAACATAGTAGACACTGAAGAAGACGAGCGCTTGAAAGAGCAGTAGCTTCCAACTAATGAGGGAGAGATGTACGTCATTCAAGTTGAGCCCATGAGAGAAACTCCAGCAGGAGTAACATTGGTTGTGCAAGAGGGTCATGAATTTCAGAAACCGACTACAGATACATAGAAACCCTAGATAAGGGAATTTCAAAATTTTTAGATATATAGTCTGCCTATTGAGTTGCCTTTATTAAGGAAGGTACAACATGTCAGAGTTGATAAACATTTGAGCTATATTTGGAAGTATAAGGGAAGTCATTTGCGTATTAAATTTAGTTCAACAATATAGCCACCGACAAATGGTCAAACATTAGGGATGAATCATAGCATTGAAAATCGTTTTAGGAGCTATGGGAAAGAACATCTTACAAGGTCTTTCCAGAGAAGAAAAATTGGCCTTCTAGAGTGGTTGCTATTGAGACTTGACCAATATGACATAGATTTCGGTTCAGAGTTAGTTCCTCCAGACAATTTTTTTTATCCTATGTGCCCAACCAAGTATGAGTGGAAGAGTCGAATGACAAACTTTATGGTTCTAGTGTTACTTTGTGAGAATCTACTATTATGTGCATCTCTAGCTCAGGGTGTGTTAAATGAAAATGGATACCTACAAGACTTACCAAGAGATTACAACATTTTTGCTACCTTCAATGTGTCCGACCTGACTCTGTACTATGGGGAGACAAAGCTTTGATTGATGAGGTCGAAGCTCCTCTAACCCTGTGGGACTGGCGTGGAGCGATAACGAGGTGTGAAAATTGCCTCCTCCATCTAGAAGAAATTAATATAGGGATTAAATAGAGTTTATTTTATCTGGATTCCAAGTTTCCTATGGAGGCAAGCTTCTATAGTTAATTACATCCTAAATGACGGGGGTCACTTGAGAAAACTCTCAATGATGATTAGAGGTGTCAGTCTTCGAGAATTCAAAGTTTAGATTTTCACGATAGGACGTGGAAAAGCAAGTGGGAGTAACTCAAATAGGAAAAAATATTTTTAGGTGTCCAAAAAAAGGAAAAGGTTAGGGGGTGCCACAGATCCTGAGTTTAGATTTTCACGATAGGACGTGGAAAAGCAAGTGGAAGTAACTCAAATAAGAAAAAATATTTTTAGGTGTCCAAAAAAAGGAAAATGTTAGGGGGTGCCACAGATCCTGAGTCGAAATCTCAGTGACTTCTCGGATTATCCTAATGCGTAGCTGGCTTTTGGAGACGATGTTATTTAGGTGTTTAATACTGTCAATTTTATTATTTAGGACTTTTATTTGCATAATATATGATTATGCAAATAACACACAGAGATATGAGGGTTTACGTCGTACCATACGACAACCTCGGAACCTAAGACAAGTTAAGACTTACGTTGCACAACATGTTTGTGTAGGGGCCTAAAGAGGGTATGAGGATTTACGTCGCACCGGACGAGCTATCTCGAAGTCCTATGGATTATTGTTTAATTCTAATGAGAGGTTTGTTGTTGTAGACTTGTTGGATCTCTCGAAGATGTCCCTTTGCAGGTCCTCAACACGTCGCTCATGGCGTATGCTCCAAGCTACTTGTTGAAACAGCAGTCCTAAGGTCTATGGTTCAACATATTCTACCAGGTATGTTTCAATATTTTGGTTTTGTCTGTA